AATAAATAAATATGCAAACAAATAAATGGGGGCACAGGGGAAGAGACACAACAATCACAACAATTCCTTGAACTATCCGAACCCTTGGCGGGAGCGCCACCGCGCTTCCCAAGCGGCGCACTATCCAGTTTGCCACCGGGCTGGCCCCATGAACTGCTTTAACTAAATCTAGAATGTCTGGGCGGAAGGGAGCTTGAACATCCACTCCTTGATTGACCTCCCTTTCTGACAGGTGAGCAACTTGACATCTAGAGCAAGTGGGCACTGGCCAGAGGTCTTGTCTTGACCTACAAGTGACAGGAGCAACACTGGACCCTGGTCTCCAGATTCTCCATTTATCACCAGGAAGCCTCCTCTCAAGTCACTGAGGAACTCAATTCTTTAGAGACTGACAGCAGGGTCATAACATTGTGAACATCAGCTTTTCCTTTCAGTACCTGTGGATAAAAATTCATGGAGAAAGAAAACCCAGGAATAAAGATCCAGAGGGCAGCCCTAATATGACTCCTTCATTTATTTATTTATTCCTGTCAATGATGAGAGGCAGAGGAAACATTTGGAGCACATTCCATGGTAAACACTGACATAATGAGAGCTTCTTGTAAGAGCTTTTAATGTCAAGATGCCTTGTGACCACACAGAGAGATGTTTCTTTTTTTACCCCAAAACATAGACATAAAGGAGGTATTAAAAGAAAAAGTCCATTAGTGCATGGTGAAATGAAGCATAATTGAAATAGCAATCATGAACAGATAAGTGTTGGAAGAAAGATACCAAACTATGCCTGAGGTGGTCTAGAGTGGTTTAGGGTATAGGCTTTGGGGCCAGATCCCTGCATGCACATCTGACTGTAGTTCCTTAAACTCTAGTGCCTCAGTTTCCTCCTGTGTAAATAGGCTACTTATAGAATCAACCTCATGGAGTAGTTTTAAGGATTAAATGAGGTGCTTAATACATACAAGGTGCTTAGCCCAGGACCTAGAACATAGTAAGCTCTCAATGTTAGTTATTGATATTTATTTAAATCTTTAATTTTGTTTCAACTTCACAGATATAGTACTTTGGGCTAACATTTATGCATAGAAATTTTGACATAAAATTCAAGTGAGTTTTTGGCTATAGTGTTAATACAAAATATACATAGCCACCATCTACTTGCTGGTCATATAAAAATCTGTACTAAAACTTGAGCTATTCTACTTTTAGCTATTCTTTTATTTACATGATGTTATAAGTCGTTTTAGGCAGTTTTCATCTAGGGAGCCACGGATCACCCTGTAAACCTGCAAGAAACTAATCTTAACTTACATGGCTTCCTGAGGGCTGGTACTCATGGGCTCTGATACACAGTGAGCAGTGTGTGGCCATTGGAATAAGCCAGCTGGGGTGTTTTCTCTTTTTCTCTCATCATGCCTAAATCCTGCCCTGAAAATCACTTGCACGTGGTGGATGGAGATGAATGAGCTCTTCTGTTTATTTAAAAGTTGGAACTATCTGTATTTTAGATCTGGTTCTTCTCCTGACTCTAGACAAATAGAGGTGAATAGGTTCTGTGTTTACCTCCAACGGTCTCATGATCTAATGTGGAAATAGTCAAGAAGTCAATCAACACAACCCAAGTGAGATGTGTTAGATTTTAGGTATGCAAAAATTTTATAGGTACATGTGGAGAAGCTCTTAACTTTGCCAGAGAAGACTTTTAGAAGGGTCTACCTCTTGAGCGAATTCTTGAGGGATGAACAGAATTTAGCCAGTTGAAGGGTATCCAGTGACAGGGAATAGTATGTGCAAAGACTCAGCATAAAAAGTTTAGTGACTTTTCTGGGGCTATGGTCACAGCATCTGTCATGCTCAGGCTCCCTTCCCTGCCTGTAATCCTGCACCAACTGGGCCAATTGTCGAGCTAGGGCTGGGCCTGGAGCTCAGAGACCCCTCCAGCCCATTCCAGACTGGGTCACCAGACCCCTCACATGCAGGTCTATGAGCTAGGTAACCGGCAAACAGGTCCTCGGAAGCCAGAGGTTGGTAAGCATGGCCGCTTGTGTGGAGGCGGCCACCGGAGGCAGTAAACTACAGCCAAGGTGGTGGCTCCACGCAGGCACACTAACTCCGCCTGCACACAACTTATTCACAGCAAAAGCTGGGCAAGATTGTGGACATCTGAGGGGCCCTGACCATTTTCCTATATTTTCCCAACAGCATCCCTTCTCCAAGCTGTGTTTGTTCTACTGACACTGCCTGCCTGGATATAGCTGGGCCAAGTAGAGTTGCTTTCCTGGAAATGAGAGCCTGGGATGGTACCTGGACTTTTCTGTTGATCTGAGTTGGTGTAAACTCAGAGAGTGTCTGAAGAGAGGGAAGAAGGAAAGGGAATTCTTGACAGAATTACGGGGAGGGGGAGGACGGAGAGGAAAGAGGCATTTGAGCATGTCCTTTACTAGTGGTGGCTTTTAATCCTTCTTAAAGAAATGCGATAGCTTGACTGTTAGAAGAACGCTGCAGAGGAAGCAGCACAAAAGCAAGACCGTGAGCGAGGCGGGGAAGGCGCTCTCTCCCTCTGACCCCGAGGGCCGACCCCGGCCTGCGAGCCCCGCAGCTGCTGCAGGAGGCCCTCTCTGGACGCCGGCGCCTGGATGATCTCCACCGTGGGGCTCGTCTCTCTTCAGCCATCGCTCTGTCCCGTGTTATGGTTCTCTCTCTAAGAGGCTGTTCCTGAGTCCAGGGTGTGGCTGTATAAGTGAGCACAGACACGTCTGTCATCCAGAGGTGAAGCTGACGTGTTGGACCGTGGAGGGCCAGTTTGCTGAGGACCTTGAAGGTTCAGAAAAGTAGCATCTTCCGTGCAAGAGGATAATTAAAAAAAACCATTCTCATTCCATGTTTAATGACTAAAAGAAAAGGATTTCTCCAATGCAGGGGCATTTGCCCTTTTTCTGAGGGGCCTGGGTCCCCAAAGGAATTGCTAATATACCAGAGAGGGAGGTATTGAAGGGGACAAGAGGGAGATGAGGAAGAAGAGGAGCGGAAGGGAGGAAGGGAGGAAGGCCTCCCGGGAACTCATGCCACGCGTGGTCAGCTGCTGCCTGCAAAGCACATACTAAGAACCGACCTTCTCTGGAGCACCTAATTACCCTCCCGGGAATTCATGCCACGCATGGTCAGCTGCTGCCTGCAAAGCACATACTAAGAACCGACCTTCTCTGGAGCACCTAATTACTAATACCACGATCTGAGCAAAGACAGGTGTTTCATATCACGTCACACGGAGCTCTAGTCCCATCTGTACATCTCAGAAGACTCTTAGATTTAGAGCATCTCCTCTTCTTTGAACTGGAAGGGAGTTTACCTTATGAAATCTCACTTCACGAAGGAGGAAAGTGAGATTCAGAAAGTTTAAGGGAATATTGAAGTAACACAGCTACCAAGTCTTTCCTTTGTTTATCTTTTACTTAATTAGAAGCATTTTTCCAAATGTTCGGGTTCGGCTTGTGGTGCACTAGGACCTCCAAATATCTCTTTGATTTAGGCACCCTACAGGAAGTTTTATGAACTCGTCATATATTCTCCATTCACAGATTTCCTTTATCCCCCTAAATTTCCTTTCTATAGTGCACGACTTTGTGTGAAGGGTCCAGCACTAAGCTGGATGCAAGCAGGCTTTATGCAACTGCTTATCTCATTCTCACTTACTGATGGGTGGAAATGTGCCCAAGGAGCAGTACATACTCTCTTCCCTCTCAAAAATCCACTAAAAATGACACTAAGGACAGGAAAGGGACTTTTAAAGGCATAATCCCACAAGACAGAGCAAAGAAAATGTAAGAGAAAGTAACAGATTTTTTAAAAGTCGAAGTCAGAAAGTAGATGGATAAGTGGTAACTGAATTATTAGACTATCAGAAAAGATACAGAGACAATAAAGTGTGCCAAAGAAATCTTCACAAAAATTATAACATCCTCAGAAAGATCAGAGGAAATATTGCATTCATGAGGCAAGAATGGGATAGCATACAAGGGAACGTTGGAGAACAGAAAAAAGTCTATTGGAAATTAAAATATGATAACAGAAATTTAAAATCTCAGTGGAGTTTAAAGAAAAAACAAAAACACGCTGGCTGGTTAGCTCATTTGGTTACAGCACAGTCTTGTAACACCAAGGTCAAGGGTTCGGAGCCCCAGCCTGGCCAACTACCAGAAAGAAAAAAATAAAATAAATTAAAATTTCGGTGGAATAGTTGGGAGATAAAGTTAAGGGTACCTTCTTGGAAAGTGGTAAGGTAAAGATATTAAGAAATATGCAAAAAGTGATAAGAACATTAGAGAATTGTTGAAGTAAATTAAAATAGAGACCAGGCCTGAAAAAATTCCTCGTGGACAAAAACAGGCCTCATAAGTGATCTCAACCTTACTTGATTTGTAAACATAAGCAAAACTTAACTTGAGCTGTTTCTTGTAAACACAAGAAAGAAAAACAGAAGTTAAGATCAATCGACCAGAAGTAGCCACCAAATTTACAATTATAGTACTTGGCCTTTCCAGTGAGAAACTGGAGATGACAGATAGTTTTGTTTAACGTAGTAATAGCTCTGTTTAAAAACAGTTCCTAAAATCTTTTTGATAACTTTATACTAAGTTAAATTAAATGATAAATATTTATTAAATATCTAGAACATTTCCAAATAAGATAAACTAGTAAACATTAATTCCCGAACATGAGTTTAAGGTTATGTATTTCTAGCTTCTCACTGAAGAGGAACTAGAGATAGTTGGGTCTGTTGAGAAACATGTCCTGTGCTATGAGGAAACACATGCTATTTAAAAACTATGAAATTAGCTACTTCCTAGTTTTCACTAGATGTTAAGGTTACTATGGACTAATCATTTTAATCCTTATATATGTAATTAAAACTACTAGAAATACTAAGGATAAAAGGAAACAACTATATGTGACCATGAATATGAAAAATGTATAAAGTAAGATGTATTTTCAGTAAACAAAAGTGTGCAAGTATGTGCTTCCATTAAGGAGAAAAGAGGGTAATTTTGATTTAAAGCAAAATGACTAATTGCTCTAGAATAAAAAAGGAGAAGACTAGGACAAAAACTGAACAGATATAGAAAGCTGTAGAAGGTTTGCAAAAGAAGATTTTTATGTGTTTCATCTACTAAGATCAGATAGATTTTACTTACATGTTTTACTTTTATTAAAAACAAGCTCAATGACATACTGATGCAAAGTTAGAATTGGGTTTTCTCTGTGTTAGAAGGACAAAGTTTTCTTGTAGTATTGGTCTGCTCCTGATTATGAAAGTTTTGCTTCTTTACCTTTTACGCAATTGACCTAGACAAGAAAGATTTTGAGTTTTATCAAGATAATTTTCTATGGGCCAGCCCTGTGGCTCACTTGGCAGAGTGCGGTGCTGGTAGCACCAAGGCCGTGGGTTCAGATCCTATATAGGGATGGCCGGTGCGCTCGCTGGCTGAGCGTGGTGCGGACGACACAGTGCCGAGGGTTGTGATCCCCTTACTGGTCAAAAAAAAAAAAAGATAATTTTTTATGGTTCATGTCTTTTATTAGGTTTTTAATTATTTAAGAAAAGTGAGCCTTTTCAATATTAAAAGAGCTAAGTATTTAAAAAAACAATGTAACAATCTTCTGTGTTTGCCTTTAAAGTCTTTTGTCACTTTGGCATTGTTTCACAGTGACCTTTGATCCTACTGAACTAAATGTTCTAAATCTTTTGACAGACACATTTGACAGCTTCCTAAAATCAAATTCTAAATCAAAACTTTTTGGTCTCAAATTAACTTTGGGATTTCCTGAGGGTCCCTGGAATACCTCAAAGAATTTATTTTCTCTCCTTATAAAAAGATATGTTAAACTAATTAGATTTATTTGATACATTAAATTGCATGGGGAGCATGGTCAAATAATAAATGATGCTAAGCCTTCTTTAAGTTTATTTGTTATAGATATGAGTGTTCTAGAAATTGTGTGAAATTCTTAGATATGTGATATATCCTGGTGTAATGTTATCAGTCATAAATCTAATTATTACCTAAAAATGCTGTATGCCACAACAGCAACCGAATTTCCATTCTGAAAGCTTTTGAAATTTTGATACAAAATTGCAAATTATTCATATGAAAAGACTGACAAGTACAAGTTTCTGATAACTTTAAGATCATACTATTGGACAAGGTAATAATTTCTAAAATTCTAATGGAAAACTGATGGATTCATAAAACTGCAAAAAAACCTTGCAAATTGCAAGCAAAACAAAAATCAATTATAAGGAACTGAATTAACTGATGAGAATAATTATAATTTTTAAGACTTTTTTGTTTGAAACATGCTAGTTCTTTACAGTCTTGTCCTCTAGATTTAAGGATCCTTTTTTCCTCTTTTCTCTTAAGTTGTCTATAACTTATAGCTATTTGATAAAATATGCTTTTGTAGACCAAAAATGGAACATTTATCTTTTTCTCTCTCATTGCTCCAGAATTTGGAAGCTCTTATTAAATATTCTTATTTGCATTGTAGGTATGTGGATAGGTTTAACAAGAATCTATTCTCCTTGTAACAAGATGTAATTGGACCAATCCTTGGTTTGGCTTATTAGCCTAGAGAGATTTTTAAAGGTTTAATCTGAGATTTCTCATTACCACACAGTTTTAAAAAACTAAGGTTATCTGCTACAAAGTCAATAAAACCCCTTGGTTATTACCAAAACTCAGACTAAAAATATCATATTTAAAAATATACACAGGGCCGGCCCGTGGCTCACTCGGGAGAGTGTGGTGCTGATAACACCAAGGCCACAGGTTCGGATCCTATATAGGGATGGCCGGTTGCTCACTGGCTGAGCGTGGTGCTGACAACACCAAGCCAAGGGTTGAGATCCCCTTACTGGTCATCATTAAAAAAAAAAAATAATAATAATAAAAAAAAAATATATATATACACACACACACACACACACACACATAGAAGTACTATTCTTCTTGCACTTATATAAACAATCAAAAAAAATATATACACACACACACACACACACACACACACACACACACACATAGAAGTACTATTCTTCTTGCACTTATATAAACAATCAGGTCAAGTTTAATAAAACTAGACTTATTTTGTACGAAAAAAATTAACTGTGACTATTTTTGGGAAAAATGGGAGAGACTATAGAAGAGATTGTATGTCAATAGGAAACTGAGTGCACCCATTATCAAATTCTCGTCTTGTTCATTTTCTTTGAGGATTCGTCAACTCCCTGTAAACTGGATTGGATCCTGATTTTTTCTAGTTTCACTAAGAACTAAAACTGTCCTTTCTCTAAGCGCTACAAGCTGAAACTGAAGTGGTTCTCTGGATATGGAAGGAAGTGAGGGGAGGGAGATTACAAAGTGGCTTGTGGAACCTTTGGGGCTGATGGATGTGATTGTTACTTTAAAATGGGGACGCTTCATGGGTGTTAATTGAAGTCAAAACTCTTCAAATTGTACAATTTATGTGATGTTTATTCCATGTCAATAGTGCCTCAATAAGGCGGTTAAAAACACAACAGAACAAAACAAAACTAACCAACCAAACAAATGCAGATCTGTGAAGCAGAGTCCGGACAGGAAGCTACTGAAGAACCCAAGACCGTGCAGGCTTCTCTTCTGTGACTTGGGAAGGGTGGGCACTGCAGCAGCTGGTGAGGACGGGGTGTGCAGGAGGGATGTCAGGGACGCTGGGGTCTTACTCCCAGTCAGGATTTGCTGAGCCCGCAGGAACTCTGGAGAGGATAAAGCCTGATTCTCTCCATTAGAGAAAAAGCCCCGAGAGCTGAGGGCTGTGCCGAAGTCATCCAGCTCATGAGTGGGAGCCGCAGGGCCAGACCCTGTCTCCTGACGGCCAGCCCGGCTCCTCCACCTTCAGTCTGTGTACAGAAGTGCTGCTGCTTTGGATCACCGTCTTCTAGAAGGTAGGACTGGGAAGAGCCGGGGGAGGGACTGGATCAGGAGGGCTGGGTAGGTGGGTGGGGTGTCTGGTCCCGGACAGGTCTTGGTCAGGTGACTTGGGTTTCGCCCTGGGCACAGGGTGGGCAGCAGCGCTCTCTCTTCTTGTAATCCGCAGAGCAGGCGTGGCACACCAGGCCCCCGCAGAGCCTGGGGAGCAGAGACAGGGAATCCCGGGGGCCTCCGCAGCTGGCTGGGGGAGCACCTGGCACGGGCTGGGGGTCATGGAGTTCCAACACCTTCAGGTCCACCTGGCTGTTTCTAGTTTCCCAGCAGAATGCCCTTGTCTCAGGAGGTCTGCCCCATCCTAAAGGGTCTCCTGCTGCCCGGGGACCCCTCCAGAGTTTCTAATTCCAAACGGTAGCTTCCCCTGGTGGTCACTTTCCTCTCTCCCACGGCCTGTCCTGCCACCACGAGGGCAGAGGAAGGAGAGGGGAGCGGCTTCCTCTGTTCGGGACTCTCTTCCCAGACAGAAGCCCATGTCAGTCCATTCTCTGAAGCGCTACACAGTCCCACCTTCCAGGACCCGCTCCTCATCTGACCCCTTTCCACTGTTCTTCACGATTCTGCTCAGTGCTGGAAGCCAGGCAGAGTCAATGAGTGGCTTTTCATGAATGTCCAGTGCCAGTGCCAGTGTCCCTCCCTCCCTGGGGCGTGAAGGGGGCTATGGGCTGGGCGGTCCTGGAGGAAAGATCCTGTGCCCTTCTCATTACCTGCACGGATACCTCCGAGACAGTCGGCCAAAGATCTTGTGACAGACGACACAGCATCCAGGGACCGTGCAAGAGAGACGCTGGAGCTTCTGCCACAGGTGGTCCTTCTCTCTGATGTGGGCGTGGAGGTGGAGAGAGAGACATACACACAGACAGGAAGACAGAAAGATGGACATGACCCAGATGCAGAGGCAGAGAGGGACAGAAAGAGGAACATGAGGACAAAGAGGAAGACAGAGAAAGATGGATAGGGTGACAGGGGGAGTCACCAGAGATGCACAAAGGGACAGAGAAGACAGAAACAAGGACAGAGAGGCAGAAAGACAGAGATACAGACAGAGACGTAGGGACAAATATAGAGAGAGACGGATACACAGAGAAAGAAAGATGGGGTGGAGTGAGATAGACAAGGTGACAGAGGGAGTCACCAGAGACACACATCCAGATAAAAAGAGACAGAGAGACAGAGACAGAAACAAGGACAGAGAGGCAGAAAGACAGAGATACAGACAGAGATGTAGGGACAAATATAGAGAGAGACGGATACACAGAGAAAGAAAGATGGGGTGGAGAGAGATAGACAGGGTGACAGAGGGAGTCACCAGAGACACACATCCAGATAAAAAGAGACAGAGAGACAGAGACAGAAACAAGGACAGAGAGGCAGAAAGACAGAGATACAGACAGAGACGTAGGGACAAATATAGAGAGAGACGGATACACAGAGAAAGAAAGATGGGGTGGAGAGAGATAGACAGGGTGACAGAGGGAGTCACCAGAGACACACATCCAGATAAAAAGAGACAGAGAGACAGAGACAGAAACAAGGACAGAGAGGCAGAAAGACAGAGATACAGACAGAGACGTAGGGACAAATATAGAGAGAGACGGATACACAGAGAAAGAAAGATGGGGTGGAGAGAGATAGACAGGGTGACAGAGGGAGTCACCAGAGACACACATCCAGATAAAAAGAGACAGAGAGACAGAGACAGAAACAAGGACAGAGAGGCAGAAAGACAGAGATACAGACAGAGACGTAGGGACAAATATAGAGAGAGACGGATACACAGAGAAAGAAAGATGGGGTGGAGAGAGATAGACAGGGTGACAGAGGGAGTCACCAGAGACACACATCCAGATAAAAAGAGACAGAGAGACAGAGACAGAAACAAGGACAGAGAGGCAGAAAGACAGAGATACAGACAGAGACGTAGGGACAAATATAGAGAGAGACGGATACACAGAGAAAGAAAGATGGGGTGGAGAGAGATAGACAGGGTGACAGAGGGAGTCACCAGAGACACACATCCAGATAAAAAGAGACAGAGAGACAGAGACAGAAACAAGGACAGAGAGGCAGAAAGACAGAGATACAGACAGAGACGTAGGGACAAATATAGAGAGAGACGGATACACAGAGAAAGAAAGATGGGGTGGAGAGAGATAGACAGGGTGACAGAGGGAGTCACCAGAGACACACATCCAGATAAAAAGAGACAGAGAGACAGAGACAGAAACAAGGACAGAGAGGCAGAAAGACAGAGATACAGACAGAGACGTAGGGACAAATATAGAGAGAGACGGATACACAGAGAAAGAAAGATGGGGTGGAGAGAGATAGACAGGGTGACAGAGGGAGTCACCAGAGACACACATCCAGATAAAAAGAGACAGAGAGACAGAGACAGAAACAAGGACAGAGAGGCAGAAAGACAGAGATACAGACAGAGACGTAGGGACAAATATAGAGAGAGACGGATACACAGAGAAAGAAAGATGGGGTGGAGAGAGATAGACAGGGTGACAGAGGGAGTCACCAGAGACACACATCCAGATAAAAAGAGACAGAGAGACAGAGACAGAAACAAGGACAGAGAGGCAGAAAGACAGAGATACAGACAGAGACGTAGGGACAAATATAGAGAGAGACGGATACACAGAGAAAGAAAGATGGGGTGGAGAGAGATAGACAGGGTGACAGAGGGAGTCACCAGAGACACACATCCAGATAAAAAGAGACAGAGAGACAGAGACAGAAACAAGGACAGAGAGGCAGAAAGACGGAGATACGGAAATGGAGAGGGACACAGGGAGACAGTCACTTAGAGAGAGAGAAAGGAAGATACAGAGCCAGAGAGGGAGACAGAGAGAGACACACGGAGAAGTAGATAAGTGTAGAAGGGGACAGAAAGACACAGAGAAGGAGATGCAGAGACAGAGAGGAACACAGATACAGAGAGGGAGAGACAAACAGAGACAAAGAGACATGGGGCAGAGAAAGAGAATGAAGAGAAGGTGAGAGAGACACACAGGAGGTGTTTTATTTTAGTCTTTAGCCTTTTGAGAAGGCGGATGGTCCCCCTTCGCCCAGCCTGACCTCGACCCCTTATTTAACAGCCTGTGCACATCCCACTCCTCCCAGGAGTGCTCCCTGATCACGGAAGCCCCACGGGCTCTTGCTCCAGACTCACACAGCACATGATGCCTATTATCTCTTAGTTGGTACTTAGTACAAGCTTTCCTTAAAGAACGTTTAGGAACAAGGGCTGTTTTACATTTTTTCACAAAATAATACATACATGTGGTTTAAAACTCAAATAGTACAAAAGGGTTTATACCAACAGGCAACAGACGCCCTCCTAATTCTTTCCCATTCTCAGGACAAACTTTCTTTCGTCGTTCAGCTTTTTCTCTATGGTGTTACTTCCATCTTTAAGTAACATGCCCAGATCCCTCCTTCTTGACTTATCAACAGAGAACATTTTCTACTGAGCTCCTTCCCTTGATATCAGAGGATTTAGCTCTCTTATTACCAGCCTCACTGACTTTTCCTCCTTCCTCCCAATGTGGTTGTATCCCTGTGTTTGGTTGCTCTGTGGGTTATCTTTGTAGTTTTGCAGAAAATCCTCAGATGGTTATTCTCATTCTATGAGCTTTAGGTCGTGTCTTGTGACTCCTTCTGTGACATGGTGACGTCCTTCCCATCAGCTCTCCTCCTTCCTCCACCTCTGAACTTGTCACCTGTTCCTGCAGCATTCAATATGGTAGCCACTGGCCACATGTGACTATTACAATTGAAATTAAAATTATTTAAAGTTAAGTAAAACGAAAATTTCAGTTCCTCAGTTGTACCAGCTCAATATTTAGAATGCTCAGTCTCTCCATGTGCCTGGTAGCTGCCATATTGGACATCACAGATACAGAACATTTCCATCTCCATAGAACATTCTATTGGATTCTATTAATATTGTTAAGGTAGTGAGTGCTGTTTATATTCTGTTTCTAGAATTATAATTGTCTCCTGTGCTTTGCCTTTAGGTAGATTCTAGCACTGAAACAAATCAATGGATACTATTTACATTATTAGGTAATATGTACAGTATACAAACTATTATTAGGTAATATATACAATATACATGGTAGATAATATATACAGTATACAAATTGCTTCCCAAAGAGCTGAGATGTATTTTACAACATTGTCCTTCTTGAAGGCTTTTGTTTTTCTAGGAATTTTTAACTGCCTTTCTTTGCTTCTTGCATTACTTGCCTTTAGCATATTATTTCTCCACAAATTCTTCATCATATTAGGTACAAGTGGTCTTCAAAAAGCTCATGAAATGATCCATATTATCATTCAATTCCATTTTTCCATGAACTTTTTGAAGAACCTTCACATTCTCTTGATTCCCCTGTTCCCTAGAGACCTTCCTCCTGGACCCTGACGCTTCTGCCACCGTCTAGCCCGACGCTCCCTGGGCTTGCTGCCCACTTGCCATATTGGGAGTTCGCTTTTCTTCTCTCCTAGGCTGGAGCTACTGTTTCCTGAATTCCACATCTTCTCCTTTCTTAGATTAGTTCTTTATTTTTCTGGAGCACATCCTCAACTAACTTCCTAAGAAAGGCTGTGTAGGAGGTGAATTTCCTGAGACCTGTTTGTCTGAAAAATGTCTTTGCTCTATCACCTTCCCCACTGAATTCATTGCTTGGCTTGACACAAAATTCTAGGGAAAAAGTGAGCTTTTCTCAGAACTCAGAAAGTATGACACCACGGACTCTTGACACACTTTGGGTTCTACTTCTTTTATAGGTGACCTTTCCTCTATATTCTGTGTCTTTTACTGAAATTTCATAATGATGTATCTAAGTGTGGGTTTTGTTGTGTTTTTCATTTATTGTGCTGATCATAAAGTGAAAACTTTAATTCTGATGACCTGTGTCCATTACAGCTGGGAAATTCTCTCATATTTTTATCTTTGTTATATTTTACAGGATAATCTCCTCCATCTTATTCTCTCCTTTTTTGGAACTTCTGTCAGTTGGAGAGGATATTGGAACTCCTGGACTGATTCTTTATGTCTCTAACTACTTCTCTTGTGACTTCCATCTCTCTGTGTTTTTTATTCTACTTTCTGAGAGACTGCCTCACGTTTCTCTTCTTTTTTTTTTTTTTCGTGTCCGGCAACGGATCGCAACCCTCAGTGTCACGCCCGTACTGGACCGGACTGGCAATGGGATCGCAACCCTCGGTGTTGCGCCCGGTTGCGCCTGCACCTCGCTCAGCCAGTGAGCGGGAACCGGTCTGTATGTGGGATCCGAACCCTCGGCGGGAGCGCCTCCGCGCTCCCAAGCCGCGCACTGTAGCAGTGCGCCACCGGGCCCGCCCCTCACGTTTCTCTTCTAATGCTTTTCGTGAATTTAAAAAAAATTCAGCAGTCATACTTTTAATTTCTAAGAATCGTTCACACCTTTGACTATTGCTTTTCACAGCACCTTGTTTCATGGGAGATGAATCTTTTTTGTTTGTTTATCTCCATCTCTACTCTTTATGTTCTAGACTCTTCTCAAATGGCTGAGGATCCTTGGTTGCCATTTCTTGTTTAATGCTGGTTGGAGCTCTGAGTAGTGGTTTCCATTTGAGGCAGGAGGGGGAGACTGGGCAGGGAGCTACTTGCTAAACCAGACACCCAAGTGACAGGACAAACTGGCCTTTTATCTGTGACATATAAATTTCTTTAGAGAAGGACCTTTTGACTATTTGCCTGGGAGACAGGCCCCGGCTGCTGGATATTCTGCAGGTGGGCAGGCAGGCAGAAGGCAGGGGTGCAGATTGCTCTTTCTAAGGGCTTTATCCTCACCTCACTTCTGCCATCTGTGTTCCTGGGATCTCTGGGTCCTGAAGTTATAACTTGGGCTCCACACTATATACACTTCTTCATCCATTTTCCAGGTTCTGGACATTAGCTGAATGCTCTCATCTGTGGTGGGTAACTATACCTTTCTCTCTAAGTTTTATTCTTTTACAATCATTTTAGTGAGATCTCAGGATGGAGAATAGATGAGGTGAGGTCAGTCTACCACCATCTTGGTGCAGAAGTCAACATCTGTGCCTTTTTAAAAAAAAATTTTTTTTTTCTGCTTTAGGTCACATCTGCCATAAAGTTTCTGCCAGTGACATGCCATTATACAGTTTGGGGTTCCCTACCTGAGGACGTTGTGATTAATTTCTTTAGCACCAGAAAAAAAATTTGTTTGGAACCTCTGGAACCTGGGACAGCTGACTCAGAGCCGGCCCAGGGGTCTGAGGAAGTCCCGTGGGCAGGCAGGTGTGGGACATGTGATTACCTCTTGGTCAACCCCTGTGTCTTTTTCCTCCTTGTCCCATTCTCAGCCCGTGAGTCCCTTTCTTTTCTCCTAACCTTAGTAGGTGTGTGTGTATGTGGGGGTGGGTTGGGGTGCAAGTGTGTTTATTGTCAGAGGACTCTGTGTAATTTATATGCTGTGTGTCCTTAGTGACCAAGTCAGCCTCTCTGATCCCCAGTTTCCTCATCTGTAAAATGGGGATAGCAGCAAGAGGTGGCTAAAAGAAGGAAATGGGTTACCATATAGAAAGTTCTGGAATCCTGCTTGAGACTAGTTAGTGGAGTAGAATGCTCTTTCCCCAGCATCCACATCCCTTACCATGTCCCCTCCGCAGCCCACCCTGCTGTCCTCGTCCTTACTGAATCAGTTCCAGCACCCGCCTCTTCATGGCCTGGACCAGGGCCTGCTGCCCTCCAAGCTCCTCCCCATACATGGCGTCCCTCCTCTCAGCCTCCTGTTGCTTCTGCTCCAGCTCTGCCTGCAGCCGGGCTCTCTCTTCCTGACACCTGCACACAGAAGGAAGCTGAGTTCTGAGCTCAGCATTTGTGACTGAGCTAGGAGGGGCCTCCACCTGACAGGGAGCTCCCAGGGAGAAGCTGGTGGTGCCCCGGCAGCCGAAGTTCACACACACACAGACACACACACACACACA